CCTTCCTTCCTTCCTTCCTTCCTTCCTTCCTTCCTTCCTTCCTTCCTCCCTCCCTCCCTCTCTCTCTCCCTCTCTTTCTTTCTTTCTTTCTTTCTTTCTTTCTTTCTTTCTTTCTTTCTTTCTTTCTTTCTCTCTCTCTCATGCGAGTGGTGGGGGAGGGTCATTCATTGTGACCGTAAAGTGGCTGCTGCATCTCCTAGGCCAGGAGTGGAAACACAGTGAAGTGGGGACGGCAAAGGCAACCTTTAAAGCAGTTTGCCTGGACGTCCGCCCACCCCACTCCTCTTTCTACTCTTTGCTTCTTCATATAGCTGCGATTTACTGAGCACCAACTCGGCAAGAAGGTCATGCAGTATTCTGAGTGTTAAGATGTAATGATGCCTGAACAGATGGTTCACAGTTGAAGGGAGAGGGAACTATGGGAAACACACACACACACACACACACACACACACACACACACACACACACACGAATACCACTCATAGTTTAAATGTTGGTATGGACCAAAGCAAAGAGTTGGTGATTTGAGCCACTGGCTTTGGCGGATGATAGCTGAATGTGCTGTGATATGAGGAGACCCCATGATGTGCTTCAGCTGGCAAGAATCCATGAATTCTACCACTCCACTGGCGTAGCCTGAGACCCCCTGAAACCGTGAGCCAAAATACATATCCCCAAAGAAAAGAATTGGGTTAGTCGATCGCTGAATTGAAGGGAAGTTTTGAAAGCTGAACACATTTTTGCCCTGAACAAAATAATCTTAAGAGACAAAGAGCTGTCATTTGGTGGGAAATTAGCATTTTCTATTACTGTCCCTTATATTTATAAACACAGAAAGCAAGACACAGAGAGGCCATTAAGTTGCTCAAAGCCCCACATCTACCCAGTATCAAAACCAGATCTGATCCCAATTAAAGTAGCCGAGCTTCTGGTCGCACACAGCACTGTAATTTCAAACTGTTTATAATTGTATTACTTCTGCAAATCCAGAGGTTAGGGGTTAGGGGCTGTGATGGTAAATCATCAGTTTTCAACTTGACTGGATGTGGATCACCATGGAAACATGTGGTGGTGGTGGGGATTCTGTAAGTGTGTTTTAGAAAGGACTGGCAGGAGGGAAGACCCACTTTAAATGTGGGTGTCACTGGAATCCTAATTTGAGTACCCAGGTGGCTACCAGCATTCATGTCTTTCTGCTCCCTGGCTGAGGGCCCCTCCAGCTCCTGCTTTTGTACTTTCCCCAACATGAACTGGATTGGTGAACCTTGAGCCAAAGGAAATCTTTCTTCCCTTATCAATCGTGTCAGGTGTTTGGCCACAACGCAAAAAAGGAGGAAGATGGACTGATGCTTTCGTTAGCATTAGGTAACTAGCAGCTAGAGCCTACAAT